CTGGGCCAGGACGGGGAGCGGGCGGAGAGGTGTCAGGGGAGCGAAGAATCCCACCAGCCCTTTGGGCGTGAGTGGTTTAGCGAGCTCTCTCTGTTCTCAACCCCCTTCTTCCCCTTCGGGGAGGGGTTTACCCCTCCCCCTACCCCCTCCCCCTGGGCCTGGAGAGGGCGGGCCGAGCGTCGTCAGGGGGGTCTTTTTTGACTCCTTGGAGGGCTAAAAAACGACGACCCTCACGAGGATTCTGGCCCCGACGGGGGGGCCCAGTTTGGCCCCTCTGCTCTTCTTTCAAGCCAAAAACATTGATTTTACGACGGTTTCGGCCCCATTTTGGCGTTCTGAGGGGGCCGCGCTCATCTTCCTTCATAGCAAAATCATTGCTTTTACACAAGGTTTTGGGCTCATTTTGTTCTTCTCAGGGGGCAGCTCTCATTGGCGCTTCTGAGGAGGTCGCAAGAGGCCCCAAGATGGCCCCAAGAGGCCCCCAGGAGGCTCCCAAGAGGCCTCCAAGAGGCCCCCAAGAGGCCCCCAAGAGGCCCCAAGAGGCCCCCAAGAGGCCCCCAAGAGGCCCCCAAGAGGCCCCAGGAGGCCCCAAGAGGCCCCCAAGAGGCCCCCAAGAGGCCCCCAAGAGGCCCCCAAGAGGCCCCAAGAGGCTCCAAGAGGCCCCCAAGAGGCCCCACGAGGAGCCCGAACGACTCACACCAGGACGAGGGGCCCGAACGACTCACACCACGAAGAGCCCGAACGACTCACACCACAAGGAGGGGCCCGAACGACTCACACCAGGACGAGGCGCCCGAACGACTCACACCACGAGGAGCCCGAACGACTCACACCACGACGCGGGCCCCGAACGACTCACACCACGAGGAGCCCGAACGAGTCACACCAGGAGGAGGGGCCCGAACGACTCACACCAGGATGAGGGGCCCGAACAACTCACACCACGAGAAGCCCGAACGACTCACACCAGGACGAAGAGCCCGAACGACTCACACCACGAAGAGCCCGAACGACTCACACCAGGAAGAAGGGCCCGAACGACTCACACCAGGACGAGAAACCCCAAACGACTCAAATCACGAGGAGCGCTTTCTCTCCCTCCTCCTCCGCCTCGTCCTTCTCCCGCTCCCCCCACAAGGAGGATGTACAAGGAGGCGGGAGGAAGGAGGAACAGGGGAGATATGCGGGGCCAAGCGGACACACGCCTGAAAAACACGACTGTCGGCATGCTTCGCAAGAGTTGCTGCTGTGAGATGGGCTGGTGGGGATACGCGAAGCGTAAAGAATTACATAAACATAAAATCTCGGAGGTCCACGCAGATTTCTCGGATTCGCGTTGGACCCCCCTGGCGGCGCCTCCGGCGCCGCCCCTGGCGCGCTCCGCGCGCCAGGGAAGGGGGTCCAGCGCCGACCCGAGAACTCCGCGCGGACCTCCGAGTTTTTTAATGTATGTCATTCTTCGCTCAACTAGCTGTGGGGCAGAAGGAGGGCCGGAAAGTGAGCGTTCTCTTAAGCGGCGTTTCGACATTGGGCGGGGGCGGGGCAGGGGGGCAGTCTGGCTCTGGACCTCTGCTTATTACGCGACGGTGTTGCAGCATTGCTCGAGGCAGGCGCCAAACACAGCGCCAGGATCCACTCCAGGGGAGGGGGGGGGGCGAGGGCCCGCGCCGATCGGCAAAACAATGGATAGGAAAACGATCACATACTCGGACACTGGAGGAACCAAACGGTACCGATACCGCTACTCCCCGGACCTCTCCTGGGGTGCGTTCTGACCAGGATCTCGAAGCGAATCCGGCGGAGGCGACGAGGGCCGCCCAGGAGGCCCAAAAACGGAGAGAAACGAGGGGGAGGGCAGGGGTGAGGATGGGCACCTCTTCCCTCCTCTGAGACGCTGCCTGGTCCGCGGCGAGCTGGGTCCACCGAGCGGTCCAGCCGGCGGCGGGGCGCACTCCCGCGGCGAAGCGTCGGCACGGGCAGGGCGGGCGGGGCCGTGCGGCGAGGGGGGAGGCAGGCCGCGCAGGGCGGCCCGGGGAGCCCCTCGGTCGTGCAGGCCTTCGGGATGTGCCAAGGGGGGGGGGGGGTGCCACGGCAATGTCCCTCCTCCCTCCTCCCTCCTCCCTCCTCCCTCCTCCCTCCTCCCTCCTCCCTCCTCCCTCCTCCCTCCTGAGAGTCCTGCCCTTGCATTTAAAACATGTGCTCAACATGTCGGAAACATGGTCTGAGCAGGTGTTGCACATGTTTCGTTGACATTTTTTTAAACATGTGCAACGCATAATTTTTAGTCCCCTGAGAATCATTTGGCAGCATGCTTCCTCTCCATGGATCGTCCTCCACAACAGTCGTGCAGACCTCCAAGATGTGCCAGGGAGCAGGCGAACACTCACGACACACAGCCGGTGGAAGTTAGGAAATACCCCCTGGGGGACCTTCGGTGGCAACTCATGGGAGCCTTCCATACTTACTGTACTGTCGGTTCTTGCGGACGCACGAGGATCGTGGCTCCCGAGGGGGGGAGCTACATTTAGGACCCCCCTCTTTTGACCGACCGCCTCTAAGATGGCCCCCAGAGGCCCCCCCAGGGCTACCAAGAGGCCCCCAAGGCTCCAAGAGCGCCCCAAGAGGCCCCAAGAGGCCTCCAAGAGGCACCCGAGAGGCACCCAGGAGGCCTCCGAGCGGCCTCAGAGAGCCCAAGCTGACCTCCAAGATAGCTCAAGATAGCCCAAGCTGGCTCAAGATGGCTCCCAAGATGCTCCAAGAGGCCCCAAGACCGTTTCAAGACGGCTCGATATGATTGGCCACGGAGCCCCCCAGGAGGCCGTCAAGGGGCCAACATTGAGATGGACCCAACACGCGGTCCAAGCCGACCTCCCTCGCTGTTTGACTATGCGTGTCTCTTCCTCTCTCCCTCCGTCAGCTCTCATGGACATCTTTTCTGGATGGGCTGGTGGGCGCGAAGCATCAATAATTGAACAAGATTACGTTGGAAGGCGCAGTTTCGGCCACAGATCTAACAGCGCCGGTGCTCAATTTAACCTCCCAGGACGTAACCAGCGCCGATGCTGGACTGAAAGAGGCGGGCAAGGAGGTGTAGGCTTCGGTCGGGCATGTCCTCCTACAGGCGGATTTGGATGAAGAATGAAAACCATCAAAAACACATTATCAAACATACTTAAACATTGCCATCAAACCATCGTCCCCAGACAACTTGTTGTTGCCATGTTTGAATTTTCCTCCTGTAGAGGGACATGCCCGAGCTAGGTGCAGGCGCAGAATACCCAAATCTCCGAGACTGTTCTTGAGAACTCCGGGCGCGGGATCCTTCGATCTCGGCCCTCCGGGGCCTGCGTTCGGAACCCGGGGCCTTCAAACATGAGTGCGGGACGAAGAGCTGGCCAGCAGAGAAGGGTCGCCTCCTTCGTTCTCCTCCTCCTCCTCCTCCCCCTCCTCATCCCATCCTCCTCCTCCTCCTCCTCCTCTTCTCTCCTCCTCCTCCTCCGCCTCTGGACCTTTTGGGCCGCGCACTGAAAGAACCAGTTTGCCGGATGTCCACGGGCCAGGACAGCATTGAGGGAAAAGAGGGAAGAGGCAGAGGAGCGAGAAAGCCAACCAGCAGGGAGGAGGACAGATACATAGCAAGCGTGACAGTACATGTTTGACATGCGCGCGTGCATCATTCAAGACTGCGGAGGGGATAGGAAGACCAGGCCCCGAGGTTGGGGGATCCAGGCTTGACGACTGTGTGTTGGCTCTGGCTGGTCCTTCCAAAGCACTCGCCACTGCGGGTCCGCTTCGGGATTCTGGCAACACCGTACCCCAGGACAAGCACGGGAAGCTGACGTTGCTGCACGCACCGTCTGGTGGCTCAGGACCCAGGACCTCCAGCATCGCGGCAAGATCGGGGCGGCCTGCTGATCCACGCTTCTGGCCTCGATGAGGCCCACGTCGGGACCCGAACCGGCAAAGCAACACCTGGGATGCAAAACACGTCCCAAGGAAGGGGTCGAAAGATCCGTGGGCAGTAATAGCGCCAAGAGGGTGAAACTGGAGGTGGGACGTAACAACAATGGCAAAACAAATGTCAGCGAATGCTCTGCCAGGGAGGACGGAAATAGAAGACAATCGTGAGCAGGATAACGATGAGATGGAGAAGAGGAGGAGACGAGGGTGAAGGAAGAGGATGCTGGGAGGAGGAAGCGGAAGAAGGGGAGAGGGTCATGAATTTGCAAAGAAGTATGAGGTAGTGAACATGGAGCTGAACGAGGAGCCTGACGAGGAGGAGAAGGCAGGACGAGAGCGAGGAAGATGACGAAGAGAAAGAGGTACTCCACCAGGTCCGCAATGCACAGCGCGCACGAGAGCAGTGAGATATCAAGGAAGGGCCAGCCACCGCCAACCATCCACCACAAGGGGCTACATCACTGGCACCTGACGGAGGCGTACACTCGAGTCGCCATGCTTGCACGCGTGGTGCAAGGCGCATGAAGGGGCACGAGCCAAGGCAACCGAGCCTCGAATCTGGCGCCGCTCACCGCACAGCCGTTCCCTCGCACCGGCGCGCAAGCACCTCGAGCGGGCTCAGAAACCCGCAAGGCACGAGTCGGCCGACAGGGTCCCGTGCCACTCCGAGCTTCTCCCATCGCACGTGTACCACTGAAAAGCGGCTCCAACGTCGAAGGCCCACGACTTCGGCTTCCGGGAGCCCAACAAACGGCTGCCTATAACAAGACTCGGCGACGCGCGTGGGCAAGTGCAGCCGTACAAGGCGAGCGACGCCGGTGATAAACGCGTCGAATTCGTCGCAAAGATCGCTCTCCGCCATGGCAAAGGTCAGGGTGGCGTCGTCCTCTGAGCCGTGAGGAGGGCGAGCGGACATGGTGTTCGCATCTGATCGGCCACCCGCGCTCCCCGCAAAGGACACGGTGGCGTGCCATCAAGCTTGGCCGCCCCACGCAGCACTCAGAAAAAAGTGACCACAGCGATGTCTCCAACGACTCCGA